GACCATGCATTAGTCCGCAATTTGTAGTAAATTTTTAACAGAACTGTAGGCTATGCTTGACACCCACAAGGTGTGCCCGGTGTGGGTCGGTAGGCAGACTCATTTGGACCTGTATTCGCCCGGTCCAAAATTCCCTCAGGATCCTTCATTGCAGAATAGTAATTTGAAATAAACAGCGCGATCATTTCGAGTAAGCAGATTCAGTGGGTCAGATTCATCGTTAGTTAGACATGTGTCAGCAATAGCCGACCGCACTCGTTAAAGCTGTTGAATCTTTTATCCAGAGTCGGTCTGCTACGTTGAAATTTGAAAAGAGTTATCGCATGTCGTCAATGGGTCGTGCCAAAGCAATGTGTGATCCATACCGCGATGTTAAGTCCTTCATGCGGCAGATTTGCTCGATCTAAATGACATGCAACAATGATACTACTACAAATCGCCAGAGCTATCATGCTGCGGGAACTAAAGTACTCCTCCCTCCAAATGGATCTTCGTCCGGTTAAAGGTCCGCTGAAATTATGTAACGGAGTAGAACTGTTACACAATTTTTCCGTGTATAAGCATAGAAAGGTATGAGAAAGAGTGTAAGTGCGGTACGTAATTAGACCTTTCATTCGGTTGGGTTACAGCAGTTGCGTACCCGCCACAAAGCGTGTGTCACACACACGGATGACGTTACTATTTGGCGTCAACATTTAACGTCATTACATGATGTCATTGAAGCACGTCATCAACGCGCTTATGTTCAGTTCGAGCGTGCTGCAGAGACTGCGTCTCATCAGGGCGCAAGTCTAATCTTTTAACTTTTAGCCAAAAGTCATTTAGATTTATGTCGAATTGATTTCAATAGAAATCAGTTTTTCAATTGCAACCTATTTGCAATGTGCGTGCCGGAGGGCGTAAAACCGCATTTACGCCACGCCTAACAACAAGCGTTCATCTATCGGTAAAACCGCATTTGAGCCACACCTAACAACAAGCGTTCATCTATCGGTAAAACCGCATTTGAGCCACACCTAACAACAAGCGTTCATCTATCGGTGAGACAGTTGTAAGGCATTTACCCGAACTTCTCTGCACGCGAAATAAGAAGGTAAAACCGCTTCCTCGCAGGTTCCTGAAGGTGTGTAAGTAGTGCGTGGCAGCTTTAAGCACCCGCCTACAGTTGGTAGCACTGGTAGTCCTTCCCACGACCCGTATCTTTGTGAGAGTGTCAGTAAGGGTAAGCCTTTTTATGTTTATTGGGCTCAATTTTCCACCTCTCTCAGCATCAGAGAGAGGTGGATGAATTATGGAATAGACACTTGTAACTAATCCCTGGCTTATTTTCTGAGTTGCTTACAAACGCAACACTTTCCTCAACTTGAAGAGTTTGAGATTTTCGTGCTCGGAAAACGAATGTTCACATCCGAGGCAAGAAGCCATCAATCGGCGAAGTCCATCATTAGACACATAATTCGCTTCTGCGCGAGAGGTCTTGGAACGCGGCGCTTAGTAAAACTGTTGAGATGATCTCGTTCCGGTCTATACAGTCGAGGCCTATCAGAGTGGATAATCCTTTATGCAATGGCACCGCCGCCCGCACTATTGTACACAGGCTTCTAGCAGTGTAACAATGTGGTGTGGCGCATCTTATCGAGGACGATGCCAGAATGGTATTGTACCCAATGTTTCATTTGCGAGATAAGGCCTCACAATGTGCTTTCGAAGCGCTTATGGCAGACAGTCAAGCGTTTCTATCATGGTCGATCTTTAAAAACGATTCGCGCCATGTACCAATGATTTAACAACGAAGTGTTTTTCAGTCACGCTTCTTTAGATTGAGACAAGTACATCGATCACTGCAAAACCATGTGCAGGAGATGCGCCCAATGTCGGCTTATATTGGTGCGGGTTCGATACCGAAACATAGTAAGGTGGCCACGTTCCTAAACATACCGCGGTATGGCTTAGCGCAACAGTCCATTTTCAGAAATGTGCCATCGAAGATGAACGAAGCACTTGGTATTGCTTTAGTTGGAGAAATCCTAAAACAGTGCTTGGGTAACGCCTTGGAAAAAGCCGGCAACCAAAATGTATGAAGCCACTCCAGTGAAGTTCGGCAATGCAGATGTTGTCTGCTACAATTGCGGCAAGCCAGGCCACACGATAGCTCGCTGCTATGGGCGCTAGCGCCCAAGCATCTATCAAGAAACCTCCTAACCTAAAGAGCGGTGCGAAGAATCAGCATGCGAGACGCTCGGATTCCGCTTCGACCAAGCACGGTTCTGGAAAATGCGGTAGCGTAGAAGTGGCGGGATGCCCTACTGACGTGGACTCTTGTGCTCAGAGTTGTTGAACAAATGGGAAGCATAGTCCGTGAGGTACCAAACAAATAGTCCTCAAACATGCTGGTTTTGTAGCGCTCGAGTGCGAGGCTATGAACAGGTGTTGAACCTTTTCGTGAATTCGGGTGCACAAAAGAGCTTCGCCAATCCCACGTCTTTGAAAAAGATTCTGACGATTAATGAGGCGCTTTCCCGAGATGGTAAGTGTGAGGAAGCGACCATTTGTCTAGCAAACAGTAAGTTAGTGAAGTTAGAGGCAGTTTACGTTGATCTCAACTTCGCTTTTTGTGAAACGTGCAACGATCAGTTCAAAGAGCTAGGCATGGAGAGTCCTTTATTTCCTAATACTAGGCAAGTCTTTGACGGTATAACTCCAACGATGGGATACTGGCGAACCTACACAGTCGCTAGCTCTATGCAAGACACCGAAAAGAATGTGCTCTTGTGAGAGGCTAACGTAAATTATACTGTGTTCAACACATTCAAGGGTGCGTTGACAGTAAATCAAATGTCATCAAAGACTAACCAGATCAATGAGTCTGGTGTAGGTGATAGCGTGGTGACAGTAGGTCAAGTGTCACAGGAATTCAGCACAGGTCTAAGGAATTGGTGTGGTTGTAATGGATACGATAGCTACAGTTGCAACTATGCCCAATTCCAAGTCAAGGAATGTCTTTTTGCGATGTGTGACGCGCACCAGACGAATTGTAAAGTCGATCAAAGGCTTGTCGAAATGAGTGATTTTTGGATCAGTCTCGGTTTAAGAGGATGGACCTAAGAGCATAACATTCAAGTCTTTTGTAAACAGGAATCTAGGAGAGTCTTTGACAAGGGTGCTCCAGCATGTCTTGGCATCTGTTAAAGAGATAATTAACCTCTTGGAGATGAAGCGAGATCTGTTCCTGCCAAAATTAAAGGAAGGAAAAATTCCACGAGATAGTCGCACCAGTTTTGAAGGAGAAATTGATGGACTGTAGATCTTGGTTCACAATGGATGAGGGTGTCTTTAAAACCAACAAGACCAAATAATTCGTTTCTTAAGGCTAAAATATCTTATAGTAGTCCATTTTACGAAGTTCTGTTAAAGCATCGTCACGTCTTTCCTACTGAAGTGTCGCACCGCCTACCGATCGATAGGGGTATCAGAAACGAGATTTACTTGGATCCTGGCACCAACTATTGTGTTACCAGGCAATGGTCATTGCCGAAGGAGAAGTCAAATGCATCGACCATTTCTTTGACAAGTGAGCAAAGTTGAGACATGTACGTGAGATCAACTCGCCTCACTACAGTCCAACCTTTTGTGTGCTTCGGGCAACAGGTGATTGGCGTGTAGTTCATGTTTACAATAAGATCAGCACGGTTACCATCCCAGTGCAAGCAACGGTCCCGCATAAAAGGTGTCCTAATGCACTTAATGGAAATTGAACTATCTTTCCGCATCAGACTTGGAGTATGAATACTAATAGATACTTATTAATGAGACAGATGCAGCCAATACGGCAGTTAGCATCCCAAGCGGTAGGTTGTGGGAGTGGCAAATGATTTCGCAGGAGTTAAAAGGCACCAGCGACATTCAAACGGGTGGTTGCTCATGTATAGCATACACATCACGCTTATGATCCTCATTACTCATCGATGTATTCGTTCATGTTTGGGTCAAGGACGGATTGGGCAAGATAGAATTGCACAAACGTCGCTTTAACGCATTGTTGCTGACTCTGGGCGACGCCTAATCGCACGTCAACTTGTAAATGTGTGTCATAGAGGTCCCCGAAAGACCTGTACTAGGCTTCAATTTAAAAACACTGTGTCAGAGTAGACTAAAAAAATTAATATATAAAGAATGGCTAGTTCCACGGCATGTGAAGAACCTGTGTGGATCCCTTAGGTCTGCTAATTACTTGCATATATATCGTAAGAATTATGCAGAGCGAACCAAAACAAAGCCTGACCCCCTGAAATGGACGCAGAGAAGAAATGGTACGAGGCTCAGGTAGATGGTTTCACCTAGGTGATGATATCACTTTTAGTAGCTCCGGTCTTGGATTTTCCAGGCATGGGTTAGTGTTGAGAATACGCCGCTTCGTGCAGTCGTTTCATGTTGGGTTCATGGTGATGATTTCTGTGTCAGGGTGTTTCATGGTGGTTATTACGGAAGAAGGTTATGGATCGCGGTTACATGATGAGATCACAGGATGTCGTTACATTAAGGCTTAGACTTAGCTAAGGGTAGTGAACTAAGGACCTTAAATATATTCACTTCGGCTTTTACATCCAACTACCCCAACAGGTTAACAGCCGCAACTCGGACAGCGGCGTCAAGACCAAGAACGCCTCGCCTCGCACATGATGAGTACCAAGCGCGCCGAAGTCCTCCTAGGAAGTGGAAATTATTTCCATTTTGAGTTCAATATGAGGATGTCGCTCGCCAGAAAAGGACTGCTGGCGCACGTGGAGGTGGTCAAGGCGGAGAGTGAGATAACGGAAGCTTGGTTAGTAAATGACGCAAAGGCTCTCGGCATCATCGCGCAGGGTGTGGAACTACAACACCAGACAAAGATCCGTTCGTCGACGCGTGCTATTCAAGCGTGGGTAACACTTAGGGAGTTCTACAATCGCACTACACTCCACAATCGGGTCACGATGACACGGCGCCTCCACTAATTCAAGATGGATGCTGGAACGGCCATGGCAAAGCATTTGGACGCTTTCGACGAGCTCGTTGTCGGTCTTCAGACGCTTGGAGAGCCCGTCGACGAGGCACGGCAGCTAGTAGTGCTGCTGAGCAGCCTTCCAGCCGAATACGAGCTGATATCGTCGATCATCGAGAACGTCAAGGACATCACGCTCATCGAGGTGAAAGAGAAGCTGTTGAAGGAGTGTGAACGGTTGGAGAAGAAAGACACGACTTCGGAACGAGCATTTAAGGTCAACGCTGGACGTTTCAAGGGCAACAAGAGGAGTGGTCGCAAGTGGAGCGATCAGAAGAAGAACTCTAGTGGTTTCCAAGGCAAGTGTTTCAAGTGCAACAAAGTTGGGCACATGAAGCGGGACTGTCAAGAGGGAACAACAGACGGCGATGCGGTATTTGTTGTGAGCACAGAACGTGTAAACGGATGGTTGATCGACAGCGGCGCGACCGCCCACATGACCCCGCACCGTTCCGATCTGTTCGAGTATGAGAACGTGAATGGTGGCATCGAAGTAACAATCGCTGACGGAAAGAAGCTGCAGGTCACTGGACGTGGTACGGTACGCTTGCTTGGACTGGACGGTAAACGGATTAAGATGGTTGAAGTTCTTCGCATACCGGGCCTCGATCGGCGTCTGTTGTCAGTGGGGAAGCTCGCGGATCGTGGACTGAACGTGGAGTTTCAGCGTTCCTCATGTGTTATATGAGGAGCGGCTAGCGCAATTGCGAAGGGTAAGAAGGTCGGCAAGGCTTACATGTTAGACTGTGAACAAGAAGAAGCTTGGTTCGTCCAGTACGCCGGGGCTGGCAGCAAGTGGGAGCTTTGGCACGCTCGCATGGGGCATCCCAACCAGGATGCTCTGGAAAAGACAAGGCATGCCACGAACGGTATTCCGGCTGTTGGTCAACCGCCCCAGTCTTTGTGCGGCGGATGCATGAAGGGGAAGCAAACGGTGGCAAAATTTCCGCATTGTTCCAGCTCGAAGACGTCGCGCGTTCTTGAGCTCGTCCACACGGATATGATGGGACCAATGAATAATCCTTCGAAAGGTGGTGCCAAGTATGTCCTGACGTTCGTGGACGACTACTCGCGCTACGTTGTGGCCTATTTCTTGAAAAAGAAGAGCGAGGTGGCCATTAAGCTTAGAGAGTTCATGACTTTCTATGAGAATCAATGGGGAGAGCGCATGAAGTGTTTACGATCGGATAACGGAACGGAGTTTGTCAACCAAGAGATGACGAAGATATGTATGCTGAACGGTATCGTGCACCAACGGACTGTCCCGTATAGCCCTCAGCAGAATGGAGTGGCAGAACGGATGAACCGAACTATCATGGAGAGATCTCGAAGTATGCTATACTACAAGGGCGTTCCAATGGAGTGGTGGGCTCAAGCAGTTAGTACTGCGGTATATCTAATCAACCGTTCCACGAACACGCACAACGCAACCGTAACACCGTTTGAGCTAGGTTTCAAAGTGAAACCTACGCTAGATCACCTACGCGTATTTGGTTCTCGCGGGTACGTTCACATTGACGAAGCGAAGAGGACGAAGCTTGAACCTAAGAGCTTTAGATGTCTGCTGCTCGGATACCCAGAAAACGTCAAGGGTTACCGTGTCTATGACTTGGACGCTTCCAAGGTCAAAGTTTCTCGCTCGGTGAAATTGGACGAGCGTGAGGTAGATGGTATTTACGATACACTACCTGCTCAGATCGAAACAGTTATTCATGTTAGCACAGACGCCGATGATGAAGTCACGCTCGCACCAGTGGAACTTCAACCCGTCGAAGCGGAACCCATGGAAGGCGTTGAGAACGACGCACCGGATGTAGAGATGGAGAGCATGCAACCGATACAGGACGCTATACCGTCGCTGCTGATGCCACAAGAACGGTCAGCTCCCACTGGATTTGAGTTGGAACCGTACCGTGGACCACCGACTATCTTCGAGGACGATCAAGTGGTGTTCCATACCCCTAGCGACCGTTTTAGAAGTTCCCGGGAACCAGTCTTCCTTCTTGAAGAGGGAACGGACGCAGAGGAAGAACGGAAGTCGGAAGGAAGAGATGGACCGTCCTATCCGAAGCGTGCCAGGATCGATAAAGACGGCCTTATTGCTGAAGCCGTCCTCGCGTACGCAGCAAGCATTGACACAGTGGATCTTTTTACAACATACGCTCAGAACTATGTGTGCCAGCTGAACAAGGCCATCTATGGACTGAAGCAAGCTGCAAGTGCCTGGAACAAGACCATTCATCGGGTATTTCTTGGGTACGGATTCAAGAGCTGTGGTGCGGACCAGTGCGTCTATGTCAAGCGTTCCAAGAGCAATTTCATTTACGTCTGTCTTTACGTAGATGATATGATCATTGCGGCGAAGACTAGTGATGAAATTGATGACGTGCAAAACGCACTCAAGAGTGTCTTTAAGATGAAGGAGCTTGGACCGGCGAAATTTATCCTGGGAATGGAGATCGACCATAACATGACTGCTGGAACGCTTATGATTAAGCAAACGCGATACATCGATGATGTGGCGAAACGGTTCGGGCAAGAGAACGCTAAGTCGGTTGACAACCAGTGTGCAACTGGTCTTAAGTTGTCAAAGTCGCAATCGCCAGCAACGGATGAAGAGCGAAGAAAGATGCAATCGAGACCGTACCGCTCCTTAATTGGATGCCTACTGTATATCACGACGTGTACTCGCCCGGACATTTCATTCGTGGTAACGCAACTTTCTCGTTTCCTGGAGAATCCCGGGGCGCAGCATTGGAACGCTGCTATACGTGTTCTACGCTACTTAAAGACGACTCGCCAGCACGGGATCATCTACAAAGGTGGTACTGGCAGCGTCACAGCTGAAGCCTACTCGGATGCGGACTGGGGTTCCAACCTCGACGACAGGCGTTCTGTCTCGGGGGTTATGATCATGATTGGGAACGCTCCGGTGGTGTTCAAATCTAAGTTCCAACGAACGGTTGCCCTCAGCTCAGCGGAAGCTGAGTATATGGCTTTAAGCCTATGCGTTCAGGAAGTGCTATGGACGCGTGCGATACTGACGGACATGGGAATGGTACAAATGAACGCTACCCAGATATGGGAGGACAATCAAGGAGCGATTGCTTTGGCCCAAAACGCTGGTTATCATGCTCGGACCAAGCATGTGGACATCCGTCATCACTTCATCAGAGAGACGATGGAAGACGGGACGGTTGCGGTAGCGTATGTGGACACCAAACATCAATTGGCCGACATACTGACCAAGGCGCTAGGATCCAAGACGTTCAAGTTCCTGCGCGATGCAAACAGTATCCAGTGCAAAGAAACCAAGCAGTAGCGGCGAGTGGGAGTGTTGAGAATACGCCGCTTCGTGCAGTCGTTTCATGTTGGGTTCATGGTGATGATTTCTGTGTCAGGGTGTTTCATGGTGGTTATTACGGAAGAAGGTTATGGATCGCGGTTACATGATGAGATCACAGGATGTCGTTACATTAAGGCTTAGACTTAGCTAAGGGTAGTGAACTAAGGACCTTAAATATATTCACTTCGGCTTTTACATCCAACTACCCCAACAGTTAGCCATATAGTGTTGTCTGCCATGCGAGTAATTTCGCTATCGGCAGTGCACTTATTCAAAAGGTTGACGACGGTATTGACCATGTCATCTTGCATCAATCCCAAATTTTAAAGCCGCAGATCTAAACTACCCCGCGCACGATGAGGAGCGATTTTCAATGAAGTATGCTCTTGCTAAGTTTCGAGTGCACCTATTGGGCACCGAACCTTTTGTAGTTTATACGGATCACGCATCACTGCGGACCGCGATGGACTTGCCGCACCTGTCACCTAGAATGGCAGGATGGCTCACATTCTTCTTATAGCTAAATTTTCGCGTCAATAAATGCTAGGGAAGTTAGTGTCTTGAGTAATGATTTACTGCCCAGACCAGACTTCGAGAAAAGACGCTTCGAATACATGTCTCGTGTTATACAACGAATTGACTCGTCAACATTGGCAGCCCTACGGGTTGACCATGTGCAAACACTCTAGACTCTGGTACAAAGAAGAGATACATGCGGGACTAACTTTGTTGTCTGCTTATAAATTACTTCTATGGACGAATAGTTAATCTTCCTTCGCCCTTCAAGGTGGACCTTACCCGCTTTAGTTGTAGTGATAGCATGTTGTGGCATCTACTATCACCTTGTAATCCATTGAGAATCTATATCCCCCATTATACAGATATCAAACAGAAGATTCACTACGAGCTCCATGATGCACTATCAAGTGGTCATCTGAACCGTAAAAAGACATTCTTACGAGTATAGAATGAATATTGGTGGCCACACCTATATATTTGGGTAGTCAGTCATATTCGGTCAAGTGAAGGACGTCAGCACGTAAAGCCTGCACCATCTAGTAGTGTGTCTCTGAAGCCACTACCGATACCAACTAGTTAGTGAATTCGGTCAGTTTGGACTTCATGTTTGGCATACCGCCTCGTCGTCTTTGTTGACTGAATAAGTAAAATGGCGCATTTAGCACGGTGTAGCACCAAGATCTTATGCAAGGAGGCAGCACTCTTTTTCTATTCACGTGTATCGGCTACACATGACGCCTGAATCCATATTTTGGACCAAGGCCCGCTTTTTACGCCAGGATTTTGACGCCGTGTGGTAGCAAGCTTCTCGAGTCTACCGCCGATCATCCCCGAATCGATGACCAGACTGAGCGGTTCAATCTTGTTGTGGCGGATGTATTGCGCGGAACCGCAATTCATATGGAATGGAGCAAGCATCTGCCGGTTGTGGTATTTGCTATAAACGACAGTATACACGCCAGAAGGGGTGAAACACCGTTTTATGTTAAAAGAATGCGCCTCTTCGGACGCTAGTCTCGCTTGTACGCAGCCCAATTCTTAGTGTGTAAAATCGACCCTCTTCTACGCTCGGAGCAAATGCGGAAGGGCAAAGTAACTTCGCCAATTTTATGACAGAAACTCACTCGAGTGACCCTGGCAGTGACACAGTGGTTTCGATACGAGAAAGTGTCAATTCGGAGTTATGGTACACGCTGTCTGTGCTTCAAAGCAATAACGAAGCATCATCATTAGCAGAAACGACCCACGACCGACCTCTTGATAGTTTGATTGTCGATCTGAATACTAAAGTTTTCTAGAAGCCCAACGCTTTGTGCATAAGCAAATCTCCATCACACTTAGGGTAGTTGACGCTATGGCAAGCGCACGAAACAGGTAAAGACAATGTGCAGACCAAATCAATTGCAAAAATGTGGTGGAGTGGCGATCGCTCATTTCTTGAGACGATCCCAACTCTCCACTGGCGCCCGGACGACCGACTAACGGAGGGGTTACTCCGATTCCGTGTGTGTTGCCTTCCTCACCTTGTGTACCCGTCGGTAGGGCGGGCCGCATTCTTCCAGGTGGACTCGTGTCGAAGGAAAACTTGACCGTGTTGGGTATGGGGTTGTGATCGTGCGGAAATCTTCACGCGATCACGGGGTACTTGTGGGTACTGATATAAGTTACCCTGGTCTCAACGAGATCGCCTTGTTCACTATGTGGTTGCTTGATCCGCGAGTCTTCTGACCACTTGAGCCGTCTCGCGATCTTGCGCCTTGCCTTTACGTGTCTAGCTGCGTCCAATCGCAGTTGATGTTGCTCGAGAGTTCTTGAACACACCTCCAAAACAATCCAGGTGTGACACTTGCGTAGACGTGTAGCGCGATTCTTTATTCGACGGGGGGCCAAAGATCCTACCCGGAAGAGATAACGTGTGCCTTGTGAAGTAATTTGAACTCTGTGTAATTAACCAACTAACCTAAACCCTACCCTACCCTATGCCTATCCGTATATCCTAGCCAGATGCCACGCGTTACCTTTCCAGGAAGATCGTCCCCTCGCATTTGTGTGGTCCACACCCAGTATATCAGCAGTTGTATCTTCTTGTGGCCCACCCAAGATATCCTCATGATCCGGCTAGCGGATCGTGATCCTACTAGCGGATCGTGATCCTTCTAGCGGATCGTAATTTTACTAGTGGATCGTGATCCTACTAGTGGATCGTGATCCTACTAGCGGATCGTGATCCTACTAGCGGGTCGTGATCCTACTAGCGGATCGTGATCCTACTAGCGGGTCGTGATCCTACTAGCGGATCGTGATCCTACTAGCGGACCGAGATCCTACTAGCAGATCGCAGCTGAGATCGGACTCGCGATCCTGGGTTAGGATCGCGGTCTTCCAGTGAGATCGAGGGTCTTGTTTTGCCATGTCTCACGACGGGTTCCGTAACCAAAACGGGTGTGACCACCCTATAGCCTCGTCCCAGGCTGGGCGATCCTGTCCACTTGGGGTTTGGGTACGCTATTGCCAGCTACCCGTCCCGGCCCGTATCCACCAATCATAGCATTCTTGGCTTAACTGAAGCGTGCGATCCGTGCGATTGCCGATCCAAGTCCCAAAAGAATTTACCCTGTGACCGCTTTGTCACAACCGTCCTCTGCACCGTCAGTCATCATACGGTGTTGATACGGCTGTGCAACCTTGTGTGTTGTATTCCTTTTTACGCACTTTCGCATCTTCTGACACGATGTCCGATACAGCCCATCCGGATCAGGTATCTCCTCCTGCTTCAGGATCGGGGCCCCTCGGATTGCCCTCTGCGATCCCAACTTCAAATGTCGGAACCTTGACTCCTACCAGTCCTGCGATCTCAGACGCCTCCACCGTGCCGGTGACCGAGTGTGATCGCCTGGCTTTGGTGACGTCGGCCCAGATGGGGGAAGGATCTGGTTGGTTTTCCATCGCGATCCCTCTGTCGCGATCCTCTTCGATCCCCGCTCCGGACTAGACATCCGCCGGCCAAAACGTCCCAACTCCGGATCCGAGTGAGCCCATCTTTCTCCCAAGTACTCGGATCGAAGCCTCGTGCTCGGTCGATCGAGCCGCGTTAAACGCAGCGATTGATTCGCTTTGCCTTCGCCTGAACCTCCGACAGACTGTCGTAGATCGGTACCAGAGTATGGAGGCTGCTTTGGAGCAGCAGATGATCCAGAATCGCTAGCTGAGTGGGGACCTTCAGGCGCTCCGCACCTCCGCGTCCCCTTTCGTTCAGTTCGTCCAATCGAAGTACGACCGCTTGCGCGTTCGCTATGAAGACGAGTTCAAGCAGTCCGAAGCCTTTCGGGAGGCATTGGTCGACAGGGTCGACCAGACCGTCTTGATCGAACATCTGAAATTCTCCGAACTGTGCGAGCACGTCATGCCGCACAGGAGAAAGCCGATCGTGAGATCGCCGGGGTACGCAAGCATATGGACGAGACGGGAGAGCGGTTAATGGCTTACTGCGACAAGTCGTCCCACATTCTGGACAAAGCCAACAGCAAGAAGTCGAAGTACAAAAAAACCGTCCTCCAACTCCAAGAGAAGCTGCGGCGTACACTTAAACAAATAGCGGGGCTCCAGGCCGACCAGGAAAAGCTGTGTCGCGCGCTCAAGCATGTATCAGGGCTTCAGGCCGAACTGGGCGAGGCGCAGGATTCTCTATCCGCCCGGTCCACTAAGTGTGATCAATCGCGTCGCATCGTATCGAATCGTGACGTTACATTAGACCAGATGCGAGTTCAGCTCGCAGACGTGGCTTCCGAACGTGATTGCGCAATACAAGATCACACGACCCTTCGGGATCGCATGGCGTCACTGGTGTCTGGGGATACTTCAGCCACACCTACGAGGGTGGAATCGTCTACTCACACGCTCGTTCACTCGACTCCTCAGTCGATGTCGAACGTATCAGGATCGAGTCGCAAGCGATCTCGCGATCCCCTACCATCGTCAACTTTGCCGCCTTTCAAAAAAGTGACTCGATCCGCTGCGTCCAAAGCTAAGCCGTCCCCAGTTTGCGATCTCAAGGTGGCACGATCCGCTGCTGATATAGCCAAGCCGCCCCCAGTTTGTGATCACAAGCCTCCGTCCGCTCCCAAGGGAACCCGCGATCCTAAGGGTCGTCGCGATCTCAAGAATCGCCATGATCCCGCGAAGCCTGCAGCTACCTCGAAACTGGGCGACCAGAGGCGCCGTGGTCCGGGCTTAACCTCGTCTGAGGGGGAGGATACATTGGCAGGTGAGGATGAGACTTTAGCGGCTGTATCCGGTTCGCGATCCTCCAGTCGTCGTCGAGCATCCAATCCGGCGACACAACCTTCGGCTGGTCTTTCTTCGAATCCGATCGTCATAGACACGCCGAGCTCTTCGCGCGATCCTCCACCTCCGGTTGATCCTGTTATTCCTACCGTGACCAAGTTATCTCGCGCAGAACTTGCCGGAGAAGCGTTCAGCGACTCGGATGGTGCCATCAGCCTTCCTGATTCGCCTCGTGATCACGTCAATCCGATGTTATCCCTGGCGGATTATGATAGCTTGCCCCCTACCAAGGTCTTTCGCAACCAGTGGACCCCTGGGTATCGAGATTGCGTACCGCGATCGTTCACACAGGTCTCTCCTTGGTCGGCACGCAAGGTCAGTTGGACGAGCGTCACGGAGATGGACACTGACTTCCTGTACCGCCACTTATCCTGTCCCAAAGGCTATATCTTCTCGACGATAATGGTGTCCAAGTGTCCTCCTCCCACATCTAAGTGGACACCTCGTCTGGCGTGCTCGGCCCAGATCGCGGCCGTATATGCTCAAGAGCCTTTGGAGACAGCCACACGTCGGATTGCGCCGATCTCCTTCAGTCGTATCGGCTGGTTCGACCAGCTCGCCTCTCTATACTTGGAGTCCAAAGATTGAAACCGACAGGCTTTGTGGGAGTGGAAGCACGAGACCTTCCTTTCCAGTGAGCAGCAAGCCAGCGATTCTGATCTGGAACAGTTCTGGAAACATCTGAAGCAGCGTCGGTCGCGAGCTGGGCCTCGGTGGAAGGAGATCCTTCGATTCATCTTGCAAGGTATGATCGCAGGTCATTGTGACCTGGACTTTCTGTTGGATCCCTTCTTTCTGCATTTCTTTTCTTTTGAAGAGGTTTCCCCTTGGTATTCTAGCCTGGTAGCAAACCGAAGGGCATCCCCAATTCTATCGCTGCTCTCCCGTTGCTGGATGCCGCTGAACCTTGGCGTTCCCAGTATCGATCCTCTATCGCTGACCACCCTGGATCACCGATCGTACGATTGCCAGGTGAGTTTTTACTGCTTGATCGCTAATGTTCAATTCCGATAGTTTCTTAATTCGATATAATATCGCTTGATCCTTCATCGTCCTCTTCATAATGAGATCAACTTCTTTATTTCGGCTTTTCAACCACAATCGGATCCCTTCGATCCGCTATCACCACTCATTTTACACATAGCCCCGGTCCATCATCTCATACAACCTCCTTGTACATATGCCCATACACCATTCCACGTCCACCTCTTAGCATGCGCCAACCGCTCATCGCTTCGATTATCCGTTAATCTTCGGTTTTCTCTTCATAGGACTGCATAAATTCAAACCGGTTTTGACTTGCACGGTTGCGCTCGAAATCTTGCAACAACGCGCCACAGTTCAGGTCCGCTTCGTCTATCCAGGTCGGATCGTCGTGTTGCTTTCATTGAACCAAAAACTGTCGATGCACTCGGCCATAACAAGTTTTAGGTTTTGATCGTAGATGAGTCGTTGTTGCCGGAAGATAGTTGGGAAAACGAGTTAGTATTCGTCAGTATCCAACTCGTTTTCCCAACTATCTTCCGGCAACAACGACTCATCGAAATCCACACGATCCTCACAGTTTGTCACTAGCACACTGCCTGGGCGATTGGGAAACTTTACCACTGGCTTTAACTTGGAGACGTGCACTATCGGGAATAATCGGTACGTAGTTCCTGAAGTCTCCACCCGAACAGCATGTTCCCCACATAACGCCGCCACTCGGAACGGTCCATGCCACATATGTGCTAACTTTCGAGCATAGCCGTCTTTGACTCGTTCCAAGTAGAGCCAAAAACCTTGCTATCCGCACTTAATATCACACACTACATTATTGTCATTGTGTCGATCCGCTCGATCTTGGCTCGCGATCTTGAGACATTCGTTTACCACTTCTCTTGCCCTATGATATTGACGTTGGACGTTATATCGCCACATTCTAGGGTCACCATCGCGTGTCCCCAACGGTAATATTGCTTCCAATGTCGATATCGGATCCTAGCCATGAATAAAAAAAAACGGAGTGTCTCCACGGTCCTATCTTGTGCCGTATTTGTAGCGAATGTCAATTATTCTGCATATTCATTCCAGTCTTTCTGTTCTACGTCCGTGACGTACATCTTAATCGACCGAGTCAACGTCCGTACCATACGCTCCGCAGTTCCGTTCGCTTGCGGTTGTTACGCCATGGTCGCACGTAGCTTTTGCCTTGCAATCCGATTTAGTTCTCGAAAAAAGTCGGACATAAATCCAGGCTCCCTGTCGTGACGTATAACTTCGCTGGCTCCAAATCTTCGAAACACACATTCTTCATATACTTCAGCGATCATTTGCGCGGTCCTCGACGAATTTGCTCTCGCGATCAAAAATCCTGGGAAACTATCTACCCACAGCAGCAGTTCTGTGTTTTCTTTAAATGACCGCGGCAATGATGGAATATGATCCATCGCGATCACCTGAAATGGGTATGTAGCCTTTATGTTTCCCGGGGATCTGCCGCGGATCGCGGGTAGACCCTTCCCGGTTGTACAATCCACATATTCGCCAACATAACGTTCTATACTCCGATACAATCCTCTCCAGTGAAAATTGGATCTGATCCGCTGATAAGTCCTCCTGATCCCCTAGTGACCACCGTCCAAGCTTGTGTGGGAATGGTGCATAAAATATTGCTGCAACAATTCCGGTACAATCAGACGGACCATCTCTATACGATCGTCCGATCCCTAAGCGGATCGGGGGCTGAAGAACAGCAATCCGTTTTCGTCCACTTCGTAGTCTGGAGCGATCCGAGCGCATAATTTTGCATCCTCTGCGTTTAACTGGGTCAGATTGCCCACAAGATATTCCTTCAGGTTGGCGATCCAGCTCTCTCCCTCTTGTGCTTGTTTTATCCGCTCGATCCGCATCCGCTACACTATTTCTTCTTTTAAACCTCGGGTTGTTAACGCCTTCGCCGCGCGGATTGTGTGATCGCTATCATTTCACCACGCGATCCGTCTTTTACGGCAGGAGCAACTCGTGCAGCCTGTTAAGTGATCTTACATCTTGCAATTCTTGATCTAAGTTCACAATGACACCTTCCTCTTGCTGCAAAGCTGCATTGGCTAGATGATCCGCGCTTTGGTTCCACTCCCTCTTCATGTGTAGGAACTCGTGTTTTGGCCAAGATTGAAGTTTCTGCATTGCTTTATGACGCAATAACTGTAGCCCTAGCGCTTTACAATCCATTTATCTCCGCATTTGCCTGATCACTAGGTTCGAGTCACCACATATAATGACTCGTCCCCTAGTTTAGTTGTCTAGCAGATCTAGACCCAACAACATGCCACGATATTCTGCTGCATTAACCGTCAGATCTGCCGCGTGTTCCTAAGCGTCTGAGATGATGGTCCATTTCTGGTAGCTTCCACACGATCGCACTATATGCCCTGCTATTCCGTTTAGTCCGTGCCGATCCATCGAAACTAATCGCCAGCAGGCATTCATCCGACCTACCGTGGGAGGTAGTATATTGCCAATTGTTTAGGTTTCTTCTGTGGAGCGATCGCAATCAACACATCATCTACCTCATCTCGCGGAGTTATACTAGCTGCGAAAGCGCTTAGTATTTCTTCCTCTCTTTTTTACATCTTTTGAACTCCAGTGTCCAATTCGATATCAGCGCAGCCCATCTTCCCAGTCTCCCATTGAGCCCAGATTATTGAATCAGCCAATCTAATGTCGAATATCGAGTGAGAACCCTGATCTTTCAAAACACGAACATGGTGTAGCACACTTCCAAGGTTCGAAGTAGGGCTTAAACTTCTTTCTCCAACATACCATAATTAACTTCATTAGGATTCAGTGTGCGACTCGTGAATGTCACAGGCCACTATACGCCGTCATATTCTTGCAATAGAGATGCCAATACTGCCCACTTACTAGCATATACCACGATCACTGGGAGTCGATCTAAATCGAAATGTTTGAGGATCGGAATTGTAGCGATCTTGGCCTTCAGCAAAGTGAATGCAATGACGGCCCTTTCCCACCGAGATTGCTCATTTGGATCATTCTCACCCCCTTGTAATGTGTTATCGCAACTTCCCGACATCGCATCACGATCTCCCATTTGGCTCATCTCGAATAAATCCGCCTCTCGTTACTCGTACAACACAATTGCATGTAATGCAAAATATTCTATAAAACGACAGTAATAGTTCAAGCTACCCAGGAACGATTGCACGGATCGCAAAGTTGTGGGAAAAGGAATGTTGACCAGCGATTCTAGACCTTTAGGATTGGTATCCAACCCAGCCAAAGATACCTGATAACCTAAGTGATTTACCTTACGCCGTACCTAAAAACCCTTGGTCAGACTGATCGACAAATTTCATCGATCGCATGCTGTCAATGATTTTTCGACCTTGTCGTACAGAGATGTCCATGACGTAGCCGGGATCAATATATCGTCAATATAAGATCGCCTACCCAGCACTTACGGCGCTTGATCCGTTTCCAGCTCTCCCTCAGTAAACACATCAGTTAACTTAGGATGATCCGTTGCATTCACATCCTTATCTGCGCCGATCTTGAGATAATATTACAGAGAATTATCAATCGAACGCTGATGAAAATGTGGGGCGTTCTTTAATCCAAAAGGCATCCGCAACCATTCAAACAGACCTGACGGCGTGATAAACACAGATATCGATCTTGCTCGTTCGGTCATCTCTACCACCCGAAATCCACTCGCCATGTCCAGCGAACAATACCACATTTCTTTGTCCATGTCCTGCAACAATTCACTGATAAGTGGCATCGGGTACACCATCAGCTGTGTTAGCTGGTTAACTCGTCGATAGTCGATACACAGTCGGATATCTTCTCCATTCTTTTTAAAAATCACGACTATTGGTGATGCCCACGGCGATGTCGAAGGTCGGATAATCTTGGCTGGCCTTTTATCAGATCGGCCAACTTCTCACGAATCTTTGGCGCAACAGGTCCTACAAGCTAAGCGATCGACCTCGCCTCTCTTACATTAATATCACAAACGGCCCCGCGTGCTGCAGGGGGTAATACATTTTATTTCCCGATCAACAGGTGACGACTCTTCCATATCAGCCGTCGCAAATCCTCTTGATCCTCTGTCAAGGGTATTCCAGGATCGCCAACCTGGACATCGTCTATTGTAATCTCGGTCGTGGATATGCTTACCTCCGACAGCACAGCCATGTGTTGTTCCACATCTTCCGCGAACAGTTCACCTCCCTCGTGGTAGTATGTTAATTCATCCGGTACATCATTTTCCATTACTTCGCCCTCGATCGTAACAGCTTTCACGTCGTCATCCAGTCGTGTAGACTGGCCATGCACCTCCCGATCTTTAACCTTGATCCCGTCTGGGTGACAGTTGGACTGTCCTTGTAGCGGATCAGTTATCTCATGGTAGTCTTTCGGTGTCATAGCTTCCTCTGCAGCCATGTCCTCTTCACCCTAATGTTCTGGCGTCTTCCGCACTGCGTTGACCGCACACGATCTGATTGTCGATCTATCATCCTTGTCTTCGTTATTCTTTCCACTCGTACATTCGTCCTGCAACTCCTCATTAGAGTCACCATTAGAGTCGGATAGTGAGGCGATCTCTGCAGAATCCTTGATGTCGTCTGATTTCCGTTTTAAGCGTGTAAAAATTTGGGTAGGTTTCTCACCAATAGGATGATCCACTCACGGGCCCGTGTAGACTTCGTCTTTTTCTTCATCTCGATCTGCAGTGGCTATAAAAACCAATGTCTGCCATTCCATGTACCGCCACGATCCTACAGATACATATCCTTTAGATCGCGGGATCAATTCTTCTGTCATCCACAATGCTAAAGGGGCCCCGCAGTTTAAGATCAAGTCACGATCGCTTACATTTGTAAGCTACAGGAACTAAATCCTTTTAAGACCATTCGTCATGGTAGGAATCCACGCCACATCCCGTCGCACCCAAAGCTTAGATTTAGGAGGTTTGACGCCGATCCTGACTTCTGCCGATATGCCGGCCGCAATGGCTATATGTTGATCGTTAGTTTTGACAGCCGATATATACGATCGGTACGGTGGTCTTCGTCCAGCCAGAAAGATTCGAACTTCATTGGGCAGAAAAAGGGTTCCGTCGGACAAATCCAAACGGATACCTGCAGGAACCATAAAATCCATGCCTAGTATAGCTTCTTGACCGACTTGATCCCCAATTCAGACATCAAGATAAAACACTAGTGATCCGTTCAGTGTGATCTTGATCTTGGTCCGTCCTACCGTCATGTAAGTACTATCTCCGATCCCAACACATTCTTGTGTTTGTTTCTCGTCTATCACAACCCCCTACCTTACGAGCAAAGGTAGTGTCGATGATCGAGATCTCCGCACCAGAGTCAAACAGAAAAGTGGCCTTCTCATTGTTGATCTTGCCCACTGCTTTCGCTTGTTTGGACCATTTTCCCGGAGTATGATACTTCCAGTATCCCCTCGACTTGCCTGGGGTATGATTGAGCTCCAACACCACCGGGGATCGGGCATAATAGTCCACTCGCTTCACACTAGATATTAAAGAGGTCCGTTTTGAACGATCACATATATTAGAGATCGAATCGCGCCGATCCTTAAATCCTTGGTCATTGTACTTCTTCTCAACATAAGCATATATGCATAGCCCAGAACGTTCGGCTCGTGCCAGATCCAACCTGGCGAGCGTTCTAGTTTCACATTTCCCGACCTTCGGAGGAAACATACCCGCATGCTTAGTAGGCACATACCACTGGCGGATCAAATTAAATAACTCTTCCATGGGGCATGTGCCATTCTCATGTACCTCTCCACATGCTGCACACACGTAGAAGCTCTTGTACAATGGATGCCCTTTGCGACCGCACTTCTGGCACGTTAGTCTCTGCCAGCATCGACGATCATCATGTCGCGTCGATCCGCAGTGGGTGCATGCCTTCGGTTTCCACCTTGATCACGTCCATCTTCTTCACCAGTATTCTTCTGCCAGGTACGATGATCTTTATCCGATCTCTTTTGACCAGATGTAGTGGACACACAACTCGGCGGCGATCCTTGTCTTCATCCGATCCAATCGAGTCCGATTCCGATCCGCTACTTTTGATCCGCTCACGGATTGCCCTCGCCGCCCGAGCAGTCTTGGATGACGTAGGATTTAAGGAGGCATTCGCTCGCTGTTGGAACTTGTTCGATCCTGTCGACGTTTTCAACTAACGAATCTTCATCCTTTGGCATGCATGTAACGTCTCATCCAACTCATTGACATCGGCCAATCGTAGTAGGGGTGTCAGCTGCTTGGCCAGATCGCGATCGTCCAACGTGGCAATAGAATGTTCCACATGTTCACGACGTGTACCCGATGTGGCCATCCTCTCGTCTCTGATTGCGATCTTGGCATGTTAGCCGCGACATTTAGGCGGTGTAGATACCCCTGTGGATTTTCTTCCGATCGTTTCCGTGCGAGATAGTATTGTCTGGCCAGAGACACACCTTGCCCTCCATACTGTACCATAAACTCATCCGGCAATCTCTTCCACTTATTTCGGGTGAATCGACCGAGTTGATTATACCAGTTTCGAGCGGGTCCTGTCAGCAGATCTCCGGACACCAAACACTTCTCCTCATCGGGTGCTTGATCGCGCAAGAACGCCTATTTGACCTTGCTGATCCAGCTTCTGGCCCGATCTTCATCTCGATCCTTGCCACTGAATTTTTTCAGCTCTGTCATCGCCGACACTCAAATGCGTTGAGGTATGCTACCACCATCTTGCAACGTCTCGGTAGTAGCTACCATAGCGTGTCTACGATCTTCTTGTCCCGAATCATTGGGATCGATGTCGTCAGGGTCGTAAACCTCCGGTTAACTGATGCGCGACTGCACCGATTCCGTCTCCACATCAGGGGTATATCTTCCACGGGATCTGGCAGGCTTGATCCTTTGGCTAGGGTAGATCGCTTGATAGTCTCGTTCCCGTTGATCTTGGCGAAAACGTTCCATGGCCTCGTGGAACGTTTCGCCAAGATCAACGGGAACGAGACTATCAAGCGATCTACCCTAGCAGGAGTCCATGCGTAGTAGTCGTCATCTGCTCTTATGCGCCTGTAGCCTTCGATCGCGAGTTCAGCTTCACCGACTCGACTCGATCGCGTAGATTTGTTGCACCACTTGGACCTTGAGACATTCGCTGGATGCCGACGGAATTGTCCGACTCCGTCTCCGATTCCGCCAAGGCATATTACGACGATCCAGTATGATACCCCCTCGGGACATCGGCGATCGTGGCAACCGCTTGATCCGCGGATTCGCACCTCCCCGTCAGAGGAGTTAGCTTGTCATCCAGCGATCTACACGCATGGATCACCTGATCCTGATCGCATTCCAGCAGTTCGTTCGTATCGAACTCTCCAGCGACGTACCCAGCATCTTCCAGCAGCTGGATGATCGCGCTGATCCCTTCTACTGCGTTAGTCGCCACCTTCGACCGGGATATCGGGCCTTGTATATCTCCGATTAGCTTAGGATTTAGTATCCGTAGCACGGGGTCGCTCGATAGCAGAATCTTGAGCGCCTTCCAATGAAACCCCTGTGCCATTTGATCCAACTGACAGCCTTCCAGCTTCATATCCAGAGCATCGTCCACGAACTTAATCGGTTCCACGATCGCTTTCACGCCGCGATCGTGTCGATCCAATCCGGGCTCTTATTTCTTCACTCGATCTGTTTTTAAAATCGTCTTCTTTGAAATTGCCTGAGTGGTCTTGTGTATTTTTTGTTCAATTTCGCTTAAGGGTTTTACCCAGCGGATCGTACTTTGCAGCACGATCCGCGGTGGTCCCCAAAGGGACCAAGGGGGGGGTGTAGGTTTATCTTCCAGATCGACTGATCGATCTTTCTCTTTGATTTTCTTGTCATCAGAGCCCCTCCCAAAACTTTTATATACGGGGATCTTTATAATCACGCGTCAAAGGCGATCCTTTTGCCTCTAACGCTTCCATCCCAGGTTCAGTCTTGATGTTCAATTCTTCACTTAGGGACTCACGGTAAAATCGCGAGTCACCAGATGATCCGGGCACGCGCACCATTGAGGTAGAGTGGCGATCGCTCATTTCTTGAGACGATCCCAACTCTCCTCTGGCGCCCGGACGACCGACTAACGGAGGGGTTACCCCGATTCTGTGTGTTTTGCCTTCCTCACCTTGTGTACCCGTCGGTAGGGCGGGCCGCATTCTTCCAGGTGGACTCGTGTCGAAGGAAAACTTGACCGTGTTGGGTATGGGGTTGTGAACGTGCGGAAATCTTCACGCGATCACGGGGTACTTGTGGGTACTGATATAAGCTACCCTGATCTCAACGAGATCGCCTTGTTTACTATGTAATTGCTTGATCGCGAGCCTTCTGAACACTTGAGCCGTCTCGCGATCCTTGCCTTTACGTGTCTTGCTGCGTCCGATCGCAGTTGATGTTGCTCGAGAGTTCTTGAACACACCTCCAAAACAATCCAGGTGTGACACTTGCGTAGACGTGTAGCGCGATTCTTTATTCGACGGGGGGCCAAAGATCCTACCCGGAAGAGATAACGTGTGCCTTGTGAAGTAATTTGAACTCTGTGTAATTAACCAACTAACCTAAACCCTACCCTATGCCTATCCGTATATCCTAGCCAGATGCCACGCGTCGCCTTTCCAGGAAGATTGTCCCCACGCATTTGTGTGGTCCACACCCAGTATATCAGCAGTTGAATCTTCTTGTGGCCCACCCAAGATATCCTCATGATCCGGCTAGCGGATCGTGATCCTACTAGCGGATCGTAATTTTACTAGTGGATCGTGATCCTACTAGTGGATCGTGATCCTACTAGCGGATCGTGATCCTACTAGCGGATCGTGATCCTACTAGCGGATCGTGATCCTACTAGCGGGTCGTGATCCTACTAGCGGGTCGTGATCCTACTAGCGGATCGTGATCCTACTAGCGGACCGAGATCCTACTAGCAGATCGCAGCTGAGATCGGACTAGCGATCCTGGGTTAGGATCGCGGTCTTCCAGTGAGATCGAGGGTCTTGTCTTGCCATGTCTCACGACGGGTTCCGTAACCAAAACGGGTGTGATCACCCTATAGCCTCGTCCCAGGCTGGGCGATCCTGTCCACTTGGGGTTTGGGTACGCTATTGCCAGCTACCAGTCCAGGCCCGTATCCACCAATCATAAATTCTTGGCTTAACTGAAGCGTGCGATCCGTGCGATCGCCGATCCAAGTCCCAAAAGATTTTACCCTGTGACCGCTTTGCTACAAAAACATGAGTTATCTAGAGTGGGAGACAAAGTAATTTTAAGTGTTAGCACTCTGCCTAGACTTCCTGTTCCAGTACTATGAGGTAAACTACAATTATTGCCACGATTTACGGCCCTATACGGTTGTGTATGAAGTCGGAGGCCTAAGCTACCGGCTCACCCTCTTAACATGTATGAAGACCCCCCCGCGTATTCTAACGTGGGTTGTCTAAAGCGATATTTAGATCTACAAGAGACCACATATCCGCATTTGTCTGACGTGAGCGACCACGTCGATGACCGTGCAACGAAAGACGGTAACGTGGAGGGGACGGCGTCGAGGGAACACTCCCAGCCGAAGAGTGAGCCCCACCCGTCCTCGGGCTTGCTGACCGAGGAGGACTGCGCGTCGAACGCGCGACTACATCAATCAGTAGGTCGATCCGGATATTAAACCGGTAGTTCCCATTAACACGCCTTCGTACGGACGTCTTGTATACTTGAGGTCAGTTGTAAGCTTAACTCTCGAGAGCCACTACCCGATTATCGACAGCAGCGTCATGCACTTGCGTATAAACAGTCGACGAGTGGGCCGCGAATAGACGAAACATATTGTGCTCGTAACTATCTCTACCGTACCTTGTGAGCACTAGAGGTAACCAGTGCTTCCTTGTAGGGAGGTTAATTGTCCACCGGCGAAGGAAGCAGAAGCTTCAGATTCTTGTCCAATGGAAAGTTTATCACATAATTTTGACCATGGGGAGACAGAGGACGTGTTGTGTAATGATATACCTGGGCTAGTTGCCGGTACGAGCAGACACACCAGTTGCACCCGTTCCGCTAGGTCCCAAATTACTAGAGGAATCAGCGTAGCATGAAGATGCAAGAGATACGTTACCACTTACTGTATTACGCTCGCTCTCTAGCGAGTAGTTCAATCGCTACAAACGCTGTTTCACCGACTCAGGGTGTAGTTTGGTACGCTGCATATGTGCTGTCTTGTATGGGTTGTTTTCTTTGACAGGAATTGTGCAGATACAGACAAGCCGCGTCTCTTTTTACTTACACGTATGGAAGGCGTCATAAGACTTATGCACATCGATCGTCGCACGCGCTAATATCGGTGGAGTAGACCTATCCTCCACTGGCCTTATGATCAAAAGAGGTATCGATAGGATGTAACAAGGTGCATAGCAGCCTTCAATTTGGCGCGCTTGTGACACAGACGGACAAGGTCCAGTGTCATTGTAGGAGCATCATGCTCGGTTTCGTCGAATTTGAACTCCCCGTTATGGGAGTCCTGACTTTCAGGCAAGACGATGGCACTCAAAATAGCTGCTAATCCTTCCAGGATAGTGCTCTCTTATTTTATTGCTAAGCTAACAGTAGCTGACTCGACATTGTCAACCTCGCTGTCGAAAGACTGTGAAGTAACCACAACATTACTAGAGCTGCTTACAGGAGCGGTTTGTGCATAGGTGATGGGATCATCCGATCCATCCCCGTGCCACATGCGCTCATTGTAACGGGGTGAATCGTTGCATAACAATTTATTAGAATTTGTTGATAGAATATAACTACAAGAGTTATATTCTCAGAATTTTGTCATCAGGACAAATATTCTGCAGCACTTTCGAGTAGTTTCTAATTGGTTGATATAGGCCATTATATCGACCAACAAAGACGCGCCACGACAGACGCACGCAATGAGTGGTGAGCAGATAGTTGACATGCACATTTGCATCTAGACATAGTTAGATGAGGATAAAAAGTGGTTTATTAACAGACATTAACTATGATAAATACAGTTCTACTTTTTACTTTAACCAAGTACTCGCTTCTTCTTACCGTCTTCCTCTGCACGTACCAGTGTACTTTGAGGATAAAAAGTGGTTTATTAACAGACATTAACTATGATAAATACAGTTCTACTTTTTACTTTAACCAAGTACTCGCTTCTTCTTACCGTCTTCCTCTGCACGTACCAGTGTACGTGAAGTAACGAGGCACCGCCTTATTCTGTCATCAGAATAAGTAGCTTGTACTGTCACCAGTACAAGCTTCAGGGTGCCCCGTTACACCTGGTAGCACTTCGTAGTCCGTCCAAGGACCACGTTCACATCTAACATGAACATGTTAGATGATGAAGATGAACAAAGTCTTCACGCTACGCGTGACGGCTACTCCCATTTGAGCAATGTCGAATGGGATGCGGTTGTACGAATGGGTTCAACCATGGGCATCCATGCTGTTAGCGTCATGCTAGAGGCTCTCAATAGAGATGCCCAACATTCTACTATCGCCAAGTTCTTTTAAAATGAACTTGACGCTGAACACATGAAAGTAGCCTTGCTTCACCAACAAGGTTCTCAACAAGCAGAGTTGTTGAGAGAACAGGGTGCTCAACAGTTTGAAATGTTGAGACAGCAGCAGGCTGCTGCCGTGGGTCGATGCACTCGCGTCGACCCGAGACTTTGAAGATTGACATCTCCAAGTATAGGGGAGTCGAAGAGGACTCCCTCCTGAGATGGTTTGTCGAATTAGACGACACCATAAGGACGCGTCGCATCGACGATGGGGAAATGCAAGTTGCATTTGCCCAGTCAAATCTGGCAGGACGTGCCAAGACATGGGTACTGGGGATTAAGTTGCACGACCCATATGCGTTTGGGTCGTTGTAAGTCTTCAAGTCGCGGCTCAGACAAACGTTTGAACCGCCTAGAGCCGATTTCAGAGCTCGAACTGAACTTTTGAAGCTCAAACAGGGTAAGCGTGATGTGCACGCTTACGCGCAACATATACGACATCTCACGAGTTGTAAAGTTCCAACCCGGTTGATGAACACACGTTGGTTGCGGTGTTCGTGCAGGGTCTTGCGGATGGTCCCGTCAAGACTCACCTGTTCCGGCTTGAACTAGATTCACTAGAATAAGCCATTTCCATTGCGGAACAGGAAGACTTCAGTCTGAGACAGGCTCGCGCCAGCTCGACATCATATCGTACGCAGAGACGATATGACAAGCGGAGGTCCAGAGCCGATGGAACTCTGTTATGTAGAGAGTGAGAAGGCTCGCTCTACAGACTTACAAGAAGTTGCAGAAATGCAACAGATGTCAGAAGACAGGACACTACGCTTACGAGTGTAGTGCCCCTCGTCCAGCGTCTCGCAACACTGGGCGTAGTGACCGTCCACCCATGAGAAAGGGGCAGGGACGAGGGTCCGCTGTTGGTGCAAAGACGCAACAACGGGATGGACCGTCAAAAACCGGACAGGATCAGTAGGTGCGGAGCACCCTACTGGTTCAGCAACGTCAAGAGAATTTGTAGGCCTCTTGCTGAAGGTTGCTCCCA